CGCCATCGCGCGAGCTCAGAGAGAGAGAGAGAGAGAGAGAGAGAGAGAGAGAGAGATGGGTGAAGACAGGATTTGGTCTCTTTGGGGACTTTGCGGGAGTGTGTTGCCCTTGATGTAGGTTGTGTGTGTGTGTGTGAGAGAGAGAGAGGGAGAGAGAGAGAGAGAGAGAGAGAGAGAGAGAGAGAGAGAAGGTAGGTTACGAAAGAGGATTTGGAAGAAGTTGTTTGATTGAGTAGGTGAGGACAGTGTCAAAGCTTTAATGGTGAATATAGAGAGAGAGAGAGAGAGAGAGAGAGAGAGAGAGAGAGAGGGAAGTGGTCAAAGGAGAAATGAATAGGGTATACAAGAAAAGGAAGACACTAATAATTTTGGGATTTCACGTTCACCTCATTTTTTCAGGAGCTTACCATCTTCCCGTTCAATTCTTCTTTCTATACACATATATACACACATATATATATATATATATATATATTATTGTGTTGTATTGGTAACATTATACCAAATACGATTCCAAGTTATGGTATTCTAGCATCTTACGATTTGGATTATTCACATTAAAATTTCAAATTCATTAGAGAGAATAGAAAGAAATGCTCCAATGATCTTATAAAAATGGGCATATACACACACACACACACTAATATATACATTTGGAGAATTTGGATAATGCACATGATTTATGGAAGCATAAATATCAGATCCAAAGACTGATTGGTTCTTTTGGAGCTTGCACCGGCGTGAATGGAACCCATGATTCTGATGCTTACATTTATTGAGCACTGCAAAATATTTTTTTTTAATTTATAAAAAAAACATATTAGATATGGTTATATTATTTCAATTAAATAAAGTGAATTTAAAAAAATACCCTAATAATGGTTCATAACTCGTAGTTTAATCTTCCTCCAAGAAAAGGCCCACTTCGAGTGCTTCCAAATTTGATGGTAAATTAATTGCAAGTACACTGCCTTTGTCTCCTCGTGCCTCCGCATTTCACTGCGCTCCATATATTTTATTTATTTTACTGTCGCATAATTTAGGTGTCTTCCAAATTATTGTTTTCTAAGCCACATAATGACAATTTAGGTTCATGGTAAGTTTTTTGCAAGGATGAATAAAAACATTAATGTCGGAGGTTAACATAATGAAAATGACATATGAATTGATTATAACTATTTTTATGTAAAAATTAATTTAAATAAAAAATAACATTTTACTACGCGAATTTAGTCAACTGTGATTTTTTCATATACTTATTTTAAATTTGACAAAAAAACTACACTTGAATTCAAAATTTTTCAAATATCTACACGAATTGTTAAAATTAACAGTAATTATATACATAATCATTATTTTCGTTAAACTTTTTCGGATTGTGTTAACTAACGCATTAATTAGGTAATTAGTGTAATTACCATACACTTAAGCGCATTAGTTAACAGAGTCTGAAAAAATTCAACAAAAATGATGATTATGTATGTAATTATTGTTAGTTTTAACAATAAATTAACAATTTTTATACATATTTAAAAATTTTGAACTCAAATATAGTTTTTTTATCAAATTAAAAATACATGTATAAAAATATCATATTTAACTTAAATTCGTGTAGAAAAATATCATTTTATCTTTAAATAATTAACACTACTTTTAAAAGTATCGAAAAATATGAATCAAATATTAACAAATTAGATCGGTATAGTTAACAGCCAATACCAAACTATATTTCTTCTTTTTCAAAAATAAATGAATACAGTTGTTGTAGAAATTAACGCACCATACAAGGCACAGTCAAAGAGCCATTTAATATCTATCTTTGTTTTTTTAACTTCTAATATCTGTTTTGTATGATTGCTTTTTTTTATTACATAAAAGTGATACAAAAAATATTTAAGATGCGCATCCAATATATATATATATATATATATATATATATAAATTGGTGAATAAAATCATATTATCTATACGAAAAAAAAGGATTTTAATGATGGTGTCCAAACCAACATTACTTACTGTAGAAAGATAGATCTGTGTACTTTGGAAGTAAGATTAAGACCCACTCGCCAAAAACAATTACGTAATCCGTCTCCATTTCGTTGTCTTAAATGTTTTGTTTTTTTTGCCCCCATTTTCCACCAATTTACCAAAAAAAAAATATCATATTTTTATTTTATTTTCAAAATATAAATTCCAATCATTATTTGTACTAGAAGTTTGCAAAAATGCCCTTGTTTTTCTTGCTATTTGATTTTATATGCATTTTTTTATAAAATTTAAAAAAATATCAATATTACCCTTTAGTCTAATTATATTATATTATTATTAATTTATTTATGAGATTCTAATTTTCTCATGAAGAAATATTTCTTTTGTTTGTTTTAATTTAGAATACTAATCTCCATAATAATTATGTTTAATAATTATTTTTGTTAATTTAATCAAAAATATTTTTATTTTTATTTGTTATCATAATATATTGATTTATATAATTAATTATTTTATTATTTTATTTTGGTTTCATCATTTCATTTATTTGTTGTAGATCAAGTGATGTTTCAAAAGATTTTGATAATACTTTTTTGTAGTTCGATATTTTTTAGATATATTTTATCATTTTTTGATACGTAACGTTGTTAAACCTTAGGTTTAATACCTAGTAAGGGTTAGAAGTATTCAAACACATATATACCGAAGATTTCGATATTTTTTCTTATTTTTCTTTTTGCTTCACATATTTTATTGATCATCTTTGGCTATCGATCATTTAATGATATTAACATATTCAAAAAAGTGTATGATATTACGACACAAATTTAGTTTATAAAAAAAAACCTTTTTTTCTTTCTGTATCGATTCTTATATTTTCTTATCAAAATATTTTTATCTGAAAACGTTTAATTTACGAAAACCTTTTTTCACGTTAGCTCTTATTTTTTTTTATCATGTTTAAATGATTAAAACAAGGAAAAAGAAAAATAGAATGCCCATTAGAGAGGTCCACTTAGCAAGTCTTCAAACTTCAAAAAGAAAGTCTGATTTTAGTTTGCAACTAAATTTTGTATTGGAAATTCAAACAATATATATGATTATTTTTCATGAAAAATGATAAATATCTTTTAAATATGAGTATTAAAAACATGCAAAGATTGACCATGATAGGGTTTTTGAATTATTAAGTGCTTAAAGTCAATTTGTACATACCAACTTATCTAATATTGTCATACCAAAAAAAAACTTATCTAATATTTATATCCCAACACCCCAAATTTGTCAATAATTCTTTTTTTTTTCCACATTTTCGTTGACATAAAACAGATGACAGTAATATATTAAAAATATAAATAATCTCTAGTTAATAAAAATGATTATTTTTCATATTTTCTATAGTTTATTATTTTGTTAAAGATCAATTTTAATCACGTACAAAATAAAATAAAAATAATAGATATATCACAAGAACTTTACAAAAAAAAAAAAGAGATATATCACAAGAACCATTAGTATTAAAATTTCGATTCACAAGTATGACACAGCAAAGATTGAATTACTATTTAACACATAAAAAGTTAAAACTCCTCAAATATAACAAAATAGAAACTTTAAATTCGTAATATTATACGCGCAGAAAATATCCGATTTCTTCTAATTTCGAAATCGTAAAAGGTCATATTTAATTTTCCTTATCCTATTTTTTTCAATTTTTAATTATATTAATAATAATGGGGGATGTACACAACTCACCCGACCGCACCATGTCCTTCGTCACGTGGTTGGCACGTGAAAGTCCGTTTCGGAAACTCTCATGAACCTTTTTCATAAAATGAGTGTATATAAATAAAACGAGTGTACACATATACACACTCATTATATATAACTGAGAAAACCGATATTTTAGATTTTCATCAAAATCTTTTTGTTACATTATCTTATAATCAATATATAAACATTAAAATATGCTACCATGTTTGAGATTTCACCGTAACATAACGGTTTTGTTGTAAAAATCTTCGTGTTGTGTTTTTTTTTTCCCAAATAAAAACAGAGAAGTTCTACTTGTAGTTTAATCCAAATAGAATATGCTATTTGATTTATCACTGAATATAAAGCAATGAACGAATGAGAAATTCCAAGAGTTTGAAACAAGTTTTAGGAAAATTGTATTAGTTATCGGAGAGATTCTCCATATAAAATTAGGCTCTTTTCACGTAACAAATAAGTTATGTATTATATATGGATATAGGATTATTCCCCTTTGTGTGGAGGGGACAAAGGCTATATGGACTTTTGGGGTAATGAAGAAAGATCATAGTTTTAGGGACAACGAGAAAGTGTTGGGAGATGAAAAGAAGCCCCCCACCACTTTTGGAACAAAAGTGACATCTGTCCAAAAGCAGAGAGAGAGAGAGAGAGAGAGAGAGAGAGAGGGGCTAGGACTTGTCGTCCTTTGAACAAAGACAATAGAATTAGCTGTTAACAAGTCTCCTTTGTCGTGGCCATTACACAAAAAAGCCTCATCTACTTGCTACTACCAAATATTACGATAATGCCACCAAATCAAGTCTCGAGCGTTTGACATACGTAAAACGTACCTGACCATTTCGGTTATTATCCAAATATCCTAAACAAACCGATATAGAATCGAACAAACTGAATCGAACCGAGTAAAAAATAACCAAAAAAAATTAAAATTTATTTGAAAAATGAATTGTTTCAGATAAAAAACCAAATACGAATCGAATCAAAGGTTTTATAAAACCGGAATGGTTATAATTTTTCTATAACCAAACCTGAACATAACAGACCAGAACCCGAACCAAAATCCGAAACGGCCACCACTATTAACTACGGGGTGGCCCTAACCCCCGTGAAATCGATTCATTTTACGACTGTAAACTCATTTTCATACTCAAATAATTAACCAAACCCTAGTGATCACATAATAAACTTGTTAATCCCTATGATCTTATATATAAAATACGAAGGTTCCCCGAAATTTTTTTAAAAATAAGAAAACCTAAAATGAAAACCACCAAAATCACATTAGGTACGTTGCTCGTATAAAGAGAAGAAGCATGCACATGAGCCCATGGTCCCTACAACATCATCGTTTTGTGCCCGTTCGTGTGCCCATTAAACTAATCTATAAGATTCTACACTATAAACAATATATTAAAAACCCTTCGAGACAGAAAATGCCGAGCAACGCAAAAAAAAAAAAAAAAAAAATCGAGGGTCGGTTTGGATGGAAGTGGAAATGCCAACTTGAAATAGGCCAAAAGACAGATCATAAAGCGAGATTGATTGATAAAAAAAGATTTAAAGGATGAAAACAGGTATTGGGTATTTATAAAAAATCGGGTAAAGCTGTTCATTGTCTGCAGATCCTAGTACATTCACTGACAGTTTTCCCACGACATAAATACTTCAGTTTCAGATCACTTTGTAGAAAACAATCAGAAGGCAGAAGAGTCTTTGTACTTTAAACAAAGGTTTCAGAAGGGAACCTGTTGTTGGCAGAGGAATGGAGGCAACGGCTATTGTTGTCCAGAATGTGATCCACAAAAGATCTGTCTGATTCTTTATTCACCTTCAATCCTCGTATCATCGCAAGTAGAAGCTCCAGAGCTCAACGTGCATATATGGTGCAACATCTTGAAAATCCTAACGAGACACTATTTTACATATCGAAATAAATGATTTCAGAAAAACAACAGTTCATACCCACTCAATTTTGTTATCATGCTTGCTTCCCGTTAATGGTGACTTCAAACAAAGAAATCAGAAAGCATAGCGGATTTGGCCATTTGTCACTCAAGGGGAAAAAACATGTTTGAGCCTTCTTCTAGTACAAAAGACCCATCACTTTCAAGGGTCACCGGAAATCTCAGCCTGTTCATCTTTATCTTCCACACTTGAAAGCTTGGAAATGAAGTCTTTGTTTTCAGCAAGGACTACTAGAGTTGGCAGCTTTAGTTTCTGCAGGTTGTCTTTCCGAATCAATATCTTCTTCATCATCGGTTTGTGAAGCTTTGCTACCAGCTCCTGCATTTTCTGGTCCGGGATCAGCATTTTCATCCTTTGTTTCGGGCACCTTTGCAGCAGTATCTTCATGTGGGAGCTTATGCACCACATTTCCCCCCTCGAACCGAAAAACTCTGCTCAAATCCTTCTCATCAATTTCCGTCTTTAATTTAGTATCTGAACTATATACTTTATCTTCAGATTCCTTAGAGGTGTCAGAACTGGATGGCACTGGCAAGGGTGAGATGCTGGATGGTGCAGAGGATGTTGATGAACCGCTCAATCCTTTGGAAAGGCAAACATACTTGAAAACGAGTTGCTTATAATTATTTAGCAGGTCTTCGACACCGCTTATGGTCAAATCACCGGCAGCGGAAAATATGTAAGGATATTCCTGAAAGACTTTGCTTGCCTGGTTATCCTTCAAAAGCAAGGCAGCACCCTTATTTTCGAAATCTGAAAGGGATTCCGCTTTCGTGAGTGGCATCTGACTGTTCAGATTCGTTCCCTCCTTGTTTCCAGAAAGATAATCAGACGACTGTGACTGTGGAAGGCCTTTTTCCTTCTCAGAATTCAACATTTGATCCTTTGGAACAGTAGGTTCATCACGAGGGGGAAGTGCCGTGCTCTGATCAAATTGAGTGGACTGGCTGTCTAAACCAGAAAGAAGTGCTCGGGCGAATTCCATGTTCTTTTCAAAATCAGCTTCTTCCATTGAAATGGCTTTTGCATCAATATTAGAGATGAAGGACTCTGCAGAAAGCATGTTTGTGAAGAAGTAGGCAGCTTCACCAACCAGTTTAGATTGACGTCTAAATCTTTGTATGTACAACAAGTTGGAATGAAGTTGTGGAGGATTAGCCTGGACATAACGGTATCAAGTGGTCAGTAGTATAGTAGGCAGGAAGAAATTCATCGGCCAATATGATGTGAAGGCAAACATAAAATCGGATGTTGGAAATACCTTTATGGTAACATAAATCAGGACAGGAAGAAATTCATCAGCTCCAGGTGCATTCTCATTCGAAGCAACTGACGCGTTAAATAGCAAATTATTGATCACCTTGCAGCAGTTGAGGATACACACGAGCTTATCTCGAGGAGCTTTGTACATATTTATTTTCTGCAGCTCTTTTTGAGCTAGCTGGAATATGCAGAGAAGAGATCATAAGCAAGAACCCTTATGCACCGAAAAAGATTATAGATGCAAAAAGTAGATGGATCCGGTTACCAGCCATGACGTTTCATTTTGAAAAGTTGGTTTTATATCCAAGTTCTCAGGAGAAATGAATTGTTGAACCAATGCCATTTTCTGAAAGAGTTGCTCATCAAATTTAGCCTCCTCCGGGTTTGAAGCAAAAACCCGGGTGAATAACTTCGTCATGACATACTTCTCGAGCCCCTGTGTATGCAAAACCGCGAGATGAAGTCAAAGGAGCAAGAAATAATCAGCATATAAGATCAAGGGGCTACATTCAATACTTACTTCTCCGGCACTATCCAACTCCTCCTCAGAGCAACCAGACCAAAGTGGATGAGCCCTAAAAGCGGCCTCCATCTTGGAAAAGAACTCCTGAACTGCAGCACAATCCTTTTCTGGGTCGGGCGCATTATTTGAGAATGAAACAATGAAACTGCAATATGGTACTTACGAAACTCAGACAACCATAGTTGACGACAAAGTTCTTGTCTATGCTGACTCACTCCATACGATCAACCGTAAAAATACACACACGGATAGAGGTACAAAGATGCATAAATTCTAAGTTCCAAAACCCTTGTTACAGAAATAAGATGCAGTATTTCTGTCCTTGTTGAAACATGCAGATCAGAACCAATCTCATGCCGGAGAAAGAAATTGCTCTCGGACAAGCTACGGGGAGGTATGGAGTTATTATGGCCTGTGGGATCAAATCTAACCTTCTAAAATCGTGATCACAAGAAGCATTCTTCATGTTTCCAGGAAAAACAGCCAAATAGATTACCGCAATTCATCAAACTCTAAAGGTCATCATCACAAACAATGTCTCAGATCTAAAGTAGCTTGATTTGAACTTGTCGCCCGGACAACTAAATCCAAAAAGGCAAGAAATCTGTATAGAAATCTAGCTCAAACGCATCCCTGAATGCGGATTCACTTACCGACATACATACCATACACATCTGCTGAAATTAAGCGCTCAAGGTTGAAGACAGAGAGAGATGCAGAGCGAGACATGTATATATATGTGTGTATCGACATACGCATACAACATCTTCACTGAAACAAAAAAAGATTAGAGAGTGAGAAAGCAGACCTTTTGATGGATTTGACGAAATCCGCGGCGGAGGGTTTGCGCATCCGCTCCAGGAAATCGTGAAGCCCCAAGAACATGTCGGCGCTCTCCATCGGCAACCACTCGCCGCCGTCAATTCTACGGCGATCTCACTTGTCTCTCCGACGACTCAGTGGCGAGAAAGAAAGACGGAGAAAACGAACAAAGGCGAAAGAGTGAAGACGCTTTTGTTTGCGTAGAAACGACGCCGTTTTGATCCCAATGCAGACGCAGCGTTTGCGTTTGCGTTTGCGTTTGCGTTTCTGGGTACCGAGTCTCGTCTTTTGGGCTTTACGTCTCGGAAACAGCCCTTGTTGAACCTGGAGGAGGAGGGCTCCGCGTTCTTTCGCCATGGCCGCCGCTTCGAAGCTACCGCTTCTCCGGCAATTACCAAGGCTTCTCAGGCTTTCTCATCCTGCTTTTCTGCTCCGTAGCTTAAGCATATCTCCTCGATTTCTTCTAGCCTCCATCGATTCGCAGGATATCTCCCGGAGAAGACGATCTTTTACCCACCTAGATTCTTCTTCCGGCATCAGAAGCTTCTGCTCTGAAGGCCCTGCTTCTGTTGATTATCGGTAATTGGGTTTCTCTCATTGATCTTGATTCTTGTGTTTAATTCGTTTTTTTGTACGAAAGACATAATCTTTATGCGACAAAACAGCACGCTTTTGCGGGAGGATGAGTTCCACAGATTGGCGAACTCCACCATTCATGACCTTCTCGAGAAGATTGAGGTATTTGGGATCTCACCTTATTGGTTTATTTTCGCGCCCAAACGATTCTTAGTCACCAATATAAGCTGCATAGTATCATAGTTTAGTAGTAGCTTCGTCTACTTAGCATCGTTCGTTCATGTTTTTCTTCTGGTGACAGGAATACGGTGACAACGTTCAGATTGACGGTTTTGACATTGATTACGGGGTAAGGTGTTCTTCAGCATCTACACTTTGGTTCAATTTTGGAGGATCTATTTCACTTATGGTCGGCCCCCTCCATTTCTCTGTCTCTGCAGAATGAAGTTTTGACAGTTAAGCTTGGATCTTTAGGCACATATGTTCTGAATAAGCAAACCCCGAACAGACAGATCTGGCTATCTTCGCCCGCGAGGTAAAAGTGCTTTCTTTCGTTTTCAATTTACCGACTTTATGTGTCTTATGTCCTCCATTCTCTGGCTGAGGAAGAATAGCATGTCTTGTGTTGGTGAACTCTACCAAAAAACCGAAATGAATGGAAGAAAAGAATTCATGCGGCCGACTCCTAATAAGTTTGGGATTAAAGCGTTGTTGTTGTTGTTGTATTGAGCATTATACGGTATGCAAGAAATGTGCAGCTTGGTATTTGGCATCTGGCATCTGGCATCAACCCTTTTCATTGTTACAGTGGATTCATAACTTATTGAAACCTTGTTTAGAAAAAAAAAAGGCACAGTCATAGGAAGATTTGCTTGTTATTTGAGAAGGCAATAAAGACATTTTTCTGACGAGTCTTGATGTTGTGTTTCCCATGACCTTACCGATGCCATCTTCTTAAACCTCTTTTGATGTCTCCCCTTGGTGCAGCGGCCCGTCTAGGTTCGATTGGGACAAAGATTCCAATTCCTGGGTTTATCGGCGAACTAAAGCAAACCTACTCAAACTCCTGGAAGAGGAGCTGGAGGATCTATGCGGAAAACCGATCACTCTCTCGTAGAATCTCTTGAGAATTTGCAAGGAAGAGGTTACATGTATTGAGCTCATGGAGTAGTAAGTTGTCTTTGGACAAAGGGTTTATAGAAATAACAGGTCAAGCCTTTGCAAGGAAGGGAAGAAACTGCACAAGACACAACATCTCGGATCTTAACTGATATGTTTCGGCGTTTCGGGCAGTTAGATAATTACCGAATAGTTTAGTAGATTACGTGATATTTCCAAATATTCATGCAATATGTTATTCCCGTATTTTGCATCTGTTGGTATCCTTTGTAAAAGAGGAATTGAATCGACTGTTTATTTTATCTGTCGAAATATTAATATTTTGGTCAAATAAAAATAGATTAGCGTCGGAAACTTAAAAAGCTGAAGATTTCCAATGCCTAAACGTTGGTAACGCACCGTTAGCTAACAATGCAACGCAAGTTTTCATTGAGAAAACGTTGAAAATTTTGCAACGCTATTTTGCGTTAGAAAACAAAAAATTCAACGTAAAATGCGTTGGAAAACGTTACAAATTTTTTCGACGCAATGACTTGTGTTGAAACTTTCGTCACAGATTTTCAGCGTTTTGCAACGCCTCTTTGCGTTTGTAATTTGCAACAAATTTTGTGAAAAAATTTCAACGCTTATTTTGCATCGCAAATAGCGTGTTTTCTTGTATCGGTCATCTTTTATGTAATAAATTTGTATATAAATTTAATATTAAATAGACTTATAATTATATATATGAAAATTTGATAATATTGATGATATAATTTGGAACATTCTAAATTATCAATTTGACTTTTTATTCAAAAAATTGTAAATAAAATATTATATATATATATATATATATTATAATTTGTATATGAGGTAACTATGTATGATTAAAAATAAAAACAATTGACAAGACTTTTCAATAAATTTAATGCTATTTTTTTAATGGACAGGTTAATTGATGTTTTGATAATTTTTTTATAATAAATAATAAATAGAAATATTTGATAAAATAAATAAATTAGATAAGTCATATTTTTGTTCGAGTTTGTCCCGTAAAGATGTTTATTAGAATTGTGCACGCTGAGTTAGCCCTAAGAACCACCACAATCACGCCTTGTATAAAAGGCGAGGGTTTGTATTTTTTGCTTCGCTTCGCTTCGCTGGAATTCTAATTTCCATCACTCCGCAAACGCAAGCCGTTCTCCACCCACCAGAGGCCCCGAGTTCTCCTCCTACGTCGTCCAACAAAGGTGATTTCTCTCGCTCTGTCTTCCGCATTCGATTCATGGTTGTTAATGTTCTTCACGTTTCCGATTCGAGTTTATAGACGCTGGTAATCGATCTCGTCTGTTCATCGATTCGACTTTTGTTGTGTTTCTTGGAGTTTTAGATTTGTATGATTTCTGGTTTTGTTTCAATCGATTTAATGAAGGATCCACTGTATTTTCTGCAAATATTGTATGAAATTCGTCATGATTCGTGGCTGTCTGGAATATACTTTTTTGGATGTGAAATTAAATGGTTAAGATTAGATTGAAGTTGGTGAGTATTCCCCACAGATGACGCTAAATTAGGTTTCCCTCTGCAACTTTGAGATTTTTTCTGATTTATGCATGGATGATTCTTCTTTGATTCTGTTCTTTTTTACGTGAATTTGTGCTATGAAAATTCCAGTTAATTGTCAATTTGGTATATCATGATCTATGACTGTGATCTTAGATTTAGTGTTGGTTGGTGTCTTGCGCTAATCTTGTTTCCAAGACTATCCCGATTTCTTGGGTTAGTTTTCCATGCCCTTTTACTATCTCTCGGTTCTTGGCTTATGGGGAGACTCAGAAAAGTTCTATATTTTAGTCTCTATGAATTTCACTTAGATATTTTCTCCGATTAACTCTCATTCCCTAGGGTCTGTTATATCTTTCAGGAAGTTGGCAGTCGAAGCTGCTTGCATCTGCACTTTGCAAAAGTGGAGTCTCTAAAGTTTGAAGCATCTTTTATGTCTGAGCGGGCTTCTCTCTTTCAATCATCTATCGGGTTCTTAGGAGAACATTGTCCTGTATCCAGGAAAAGGAGTTGTCATATATCTCATAAAATTGGTTGTATGAGTCTTGGATCTTTTGGGGCCTACAACGCAAGCAGTTTGGGTTACCAGTTTATGCAACCCTTGCTAATCCCCAAGAACCAGTTTGTTGAAAAACAAGGAGATCGTGATTCTGCTGAGCTGAGCTTCTACTGATACTCACTGTCTATCGGGTGCTTGCTACTGAGATTAAAAATGGCATTGCTGAACATTGGTGCTTCCAACCGTGATGATGCCTTCTACAGGTACAAGATGCCAAAGATGGTTACCAAGATTGAAGGTAGAGGCAACGGCATCAAAACCAATGTGGTCAACATGGTCGACATTGCCAAGGCCTTGGGAAGACCTGCTTCTTACACCACAAAGTACTTTGGTTGTGAGCTCGGTGCCCAGTCCAAATTTGACGAGAAGACTGGAACTTCACTGGTGAATGGGGCTCACAATACTGCCAAGCTTGCGGGACTTCTAGAGAATTTCATAAAAAAGTATGTCCAGTGCTATGGTTGTGGGAACCCTGAAACTGAGATCCTCATTACAAAGACCCAAATGCTCCAACTGAAATGTGCAGCCTGTGGGTTTATCTCAGACGTTGATATGAGGGACAAGCTCACATCCTTCATTCTGAAGAATCCTCCAGAGCAGAAAAAATCCTCGAAGGACAAGAAATCACTGAGGAGAGCCGAGAAAGAAAGGCTGAAGGAGGGTGAAGCAGCTGATGAGGAGATGAAGAAGCTCAAGAAGGAGGTTAAGAAGAAAACCACCTCTGGTACTACAAAAGACAAAGCTTCGAAGAAGAAGGCCCAAACCCATGCTTCTGACGAAGATCGCTCCCCAACCAGAACCCAAGCTTATGAAATCGACCAAGAGGTGAGCGATGACGGTGATGATGACATCAAGTGGCAAACTGATACTTCCCGGGAGGCCGTGGAACAACGGATGAAAGAACAGCTTAGCGCTGTTACTGCAGAAATGGTGATGCTCTCTACAAACGAAGAAAAGAAAAAACCGGCAATTGAGAAGAAGTCTGTGGAACAAACAAAGAAGCCGCATGAGAATGGCAATGGCAGTATACTGAATGCTCATGAAAAACTCGTCAACGAGATAAAAGAGCTTCTGAACAATAAAGGTACATCTCCGACCCAACTGAAATCATCCTTTGCTTCACTGTCCGCCACTCCTCAGGACCAAATGGATGTTCTGTTCTCCGTCCTCTTCGAAGGTGTCGGGAAAGGTTTCGCCAAAGAAGTGATCAAGAAAAAGGAGTATCTTATTGCATTGATGAAAGAAGAAGAAGAAGCGGTAACATGGCAGAAGGTTTTGCTTAAAGCCATGGGAAGTTTCTGCCAGGGGAATGCGAGAACGGAAGCCGTGAAAGAGGTGGCACTTGTTCTGAAAGGGCTATATGACGAGGACTTGCTGGAGGAAGAGGTGATACTCGAGTGGTACAAGAAAGGAGTGGCGGGCGACAACAAAGGCTCGGCCGTGATGATGTGGAAGAATGTTAAGCCATTCGTGGAGTGGCTCGAGAATGCTGAGTCGGAGTCGGAGGAAGAATGAGTGATAACACAAATTGCGATCGAGGGTTTTTGATTGTTTGGTCTTCTGAACATCAACTTGGCTTTGTGGTCATATTTCTCGGTTTCCTCTCTTGGGTGTTTTCCCTTGTGGTGAAAACATCGTTATTCCCAGGTGCTGCTCTGCGCATTGTGTTTGCTTTCATCATTTGGTTAGCAAATGAAACTGATTTGTTTGGTTTCGTGCATCTGTTGTTTGGTCGAGTTTGTTTTGTTCTTTTAAGAGCCATTATCTTAATGGGCTTTCTTGTAGCCCATGTGTGTTTTTTTTAAACTTTTTTTTGTACCCCGCAACCAGAAACTCACTAAATTGGAACCTCTTAATTATTTATCGAAATTATTTTCGAATGATGAAAAATGGACCGAATCATATCACTTTTAAGCAACGCATAAGTTACAGTTATATTCAAGAAACCTTCAAAGGTTACTTTTTAGCTCAATCAATTACTATCTTTATAATAGGATAACTAAGTTCAAGTTTCTATTTGTATGATTTTAAAAGTGTTTCTTGAAATGGATTCCAATATCTAATACATGTTGATGTTGGTAACCCTTCTTCCACTAATAATAATAATATATTTATTTTTTTATTGACCAATTTGTCACTTATAAAAATGTTTTATTCATCCAAATGAGGAGACTTTGTATTGCGTCGAAGTAGGGCTTTTCAAAACTATGCAAATATGGTCTTTAAAGATACGATTTTTTTTTATATATAACTCAAGATATGAATTCATATCAAAGATATTCTCGTACCGATAAATTTAATATAAGATATGAATTCATAACAAGAATACACATATATTAAATTTATCGGTACGAGAATATTTTGAATTAGTGATATGAGAATGTTTTGAGTCAGTGAAATCAATTGTATATCTATAGAAAACCCTACTTCTAATGTAATATAAAATGTTATAGTCATAAGTAGTAAAATTTTTATGTACGAAAATATCTCAATTAATAATAATCAGTTAAGATAACTTAATTCACCGTATAGTAACGAATTCACCTACGAATTAATTCGATACAAAAGTTCTAACAAACACGAAAGCATGTTTCTTTACAAATTTTGCGATGGAATAGTGATGTATTTTAATATCTAAAATATTGCAATGTGAAATCTTACAATAGTTTAATGTTTTGTCTTAAGGTGAAGAACCAATAGTTGTTGATATATTTTCTTTCGTGGAAGGGCTTATCTCAATCACAATGAATCAACCTGGATTTACGGCCACATGACCCCCATTGTCCCCTCATTCCCAATCAGATTTTGACACGTTTCAATCACCGGTTAAGCCTTGATCTTAAAGCCTATTACCGGTCAATTGTCGCATTCTCGTCGCATGCTTTTGAGAGAATACGTCTAGATTCACTGCATTTTTGTAACTGGACAAACCGGTTAACTTTTGAAATCTTGTGCCTTCGTGCTCCCTGCGATTCGTTATTTGTTCGCTCGCTTCCACCATTTTTTTTCTCATCGTCCAAACGGAAGCGAGAAAATTTACAGTTAAAATCAGGTTTCGAGAGATTTGAATGGGAATTTCTTTTACATCTTCCTCATCAAATCCCAAATTTTTGTACTGTCGTTGTAGCTGTTGTACCATTTGTTACAGCCATTGTTGTCGCTTCTGCTTCTAACTAAACATCATCTTCTGAAATCCCTAATTTTTTCCCCTTTTGTGTCGGAAACTTGTATGGATTTGAGTCGTGCTCAGCCTGATTTATCTCGTGGATTTCGTTGCGCCCACGAATCAATGGCCCCAAAAACCCCAATCACAGACGATTCTATTAATCTGCAAGTTGATCCGAGTTTTCGCGCGTCGCCGACACCCATACGTCCTGTTCCATTGGAGTTTCTGGAGCAGACGGTTGAGAAGATTGGCGGAGGAGGGGAAAAGGAAGAAGAAGATCAAAAGGATGAGCTTCATTTCAGAATATTAGGGCACCCTCTGTGTCTGAAAAGGCAGAGAGATTGTCCAACTTTGTCGCAGTCAAAACCTCCGAAGAGAATCATGGCCGAAAGCGATCTGGAGTCAAGGAGAGCAGCTGTTAGGTCATGGGGCAATCAGCCTCTTCATGTAGCGGATCCAGAGATACACGAGATCATGGAGAAAGAGAAACAAAGGCAATTCAAAGGGATTGAGCTGATTGCTTCTGAGAATTTCGTGTGCCGAGCGGTGATGGAAGCTTTGGGAAGTCACTTGACGAACAAGTACTCCGAAGGAATGCCCGGGGCGAGATATTACACGGGCAATCAATACATCGACCAGATTGAGACCCTGTGTATCGAACGTGCCCTTGTCGCCTTTGGTCTTGAACCTGACAAATGGGGTGTCAATGTTCAGCCATACTCGTGTACTTCTGCGAATTTCGCAGTGTACACTGGACTTTTGTTGCCCGGTGATCGGATTATGGGATTGGATTCTCCCTCCGGTGGGCATATGAGTCACGGGTATTACACGCCTGGTGGGAAGAAGGTTTCTGCTGCATCAATATTCTTTGAGAATTTTTCTTACAAGGTGAATCCTCGTAGTGGGTATATTGATTACGATAAGCTTGAGGAAAAGGCTCTTGATTACCGCCCTAAGATTCTTATATGTGGAGGGAGTTCATACCCAAGGGACTGGGATTTCGCAAGGATTAGAAAGATTGCAGACAAGTGTGGAGCTGTTTTGATGTGTGATATGGCTCATATAAGCGGCCTCGTTGCCACTAAGGTTCGAAGCATCTATACTACTGTCCTGTCATTGTTATGGTTGCGTTGCGTAGCTTTGGCTTTTAGACATTTTATAGATTGATTATGTCATAGATGAGTTTAGACACTTTAATTAGTTTTTATTGTTAAACAAAGTTTTCTTTTTTGGCTCGTGGTGGGTTTGGATTGAATCGTTAGTAGGTTTTGTGGCTACATTACGATTAAAATTTGAGAATCCGAGAAAGAAATAGCAAGCCTACGCCTTTTCTATTTTTGTCATGGAGTTTATGCTGGTTTGGTGTGTCAATTGATAGATACCATCTAAGGAAGGGCCTTGAAATCGATCGTTTCTTCATCCTTTCTGTTTCTGCTTGAAATAATTTGTTTCTCACGTCTTCTTTGGCATGTGTCCTTTCCACAGGAATGTTCAAATCCATTTGATCACTGTGACATAGTTACATCCACTACCCACAAAGGTCTGCGTGGACCCAGAGGAGGTATCATTTTCTATCGGAGAGGCTCAAAGATAAGAAAGTCGGGTCTTCATTCCGGTCATTGTGACAGTTCTTTACACTATGATTTCGAGGAAAAGATAACATTTGCAGTGTTCCCATCATTACAAGGGGGTCCTCACAATAACCACATTGCTGCTCTTGCCATTGCCTTGAAACAAGTGGCGACTCCAGTGTACAAAACTTACATACAACAGGTGAAGAGAAACGCTCAATCTTTGGCCTCGGCTTTGCAGAGAAGAAAATGCAGGTTGGTTACCGGTGGCACTGATAACCATTTGTTGCTGTGGGATTTGACCCCCTTAGGGTTGACAGGTACTGAAACTCGCCAACTATTTATGGATCCCTCTTCATCTTGAATTTTTCTCCTGTTTTGTCGGCAAAAGTATGAGCATAACCTAGGCTTGAGAGTCTACTTATACCATCTGACAAGGAAACAAAAGCAGGGTCCTCGTTCTATCGCTGGTGCTAGCAATACATCCGAAAGTATTACTCCTCTAAATCCAAATATAGAAGAACATGAGCATCTACTCTGAAATAAGAGACTTTACTGATCTTGGAACTTGAAAGTGGAAAGATTTATTAGCACTGCTTATGCTTTTGTTCATTGTCTTTCAGGGAAGGTCTACGAGAAGGTCTGTGAGATGTGCCATATTACCTTAAACAAGACTGCTATATATGGCGACAACGGCTCCATATCACCAGGAGGTGTCAGGATCGGTAATCAGATTCGATATAACATTACTTTTCATCGGAATAACCAATCACAAGTGCCTATTGTCTCTACCTAAACGTCGGATTCTGTATTTGTATGGACAATAGGGACACCGGCCATGACAACCCGCGGTTGTATAGAGTCGGATTTTGAGACAATAGCCGATTTTCTCATCAGGGCAGCTCAGATAACGAGTGGTTTGCAGAGAGAGTTGGGGAAACCTCATAAAGAGTTCGTTAAGAATCTCTGCAACAACAAAGACATAACTGAACTCAGGAACAAGGTTGAAGCCTTTGCTTCACGGTTTGAGATGCCTGCTTTCGAGATCTGAAAATAGATGAGGACCATCCTCCACAGCCATTCTATTGTCGGCAGAAAGCCACGTTTTGAATTCTTTCCACTAAATCTCACTCAAATCTCTCCCTGTAATTGGGGTATTTTATTATACAGTTTGGTCCTGTAAATAGATATCTTGGATTTCATTTTTCACACTTTCTTCTGTTAGTGTATACCCATTTTGACATATGTGAGATATTAACAATTTAATTATAACAAAGTTACCTTCCGATCCAGTGTGGAAATTTCACTTAATATTTGTGGACATTTTCGTAATTTAGAACAATTTATTGCTCTTTTAGGAGTCTTCATCTTGCTGTTAGGTTTGAGCGGTCCATTTATACGTAATGAGATCACTCTGGCTCCACTCAATGTTTCCAACATAAAAAAAAAAGTGATTAATAATAATAACTAATAAATTCAATATCCTAAATTCATAAATGCAAAAACACTTAATACACGCCCGGTGGGACTCGAACCCACAATCGTCTGATTAGAAGTCAGACGCCTTATCCATTAGGCCACGGGCGCTTTGACTGTTAGAAAACAATGTATCTAAATTATTCAAATCTTTTGGCTAAAAATTAAAAAATCGATAGATTTTATACAAATAATTTATAAAATCATTAAAAAAATTTATATTCAAAATAATTATACTATAAAACGATAGTTTTTTAAGTAAATAAAAGAAAAAAGAATTATATGTGATAAATATTTTGTATTTTTTTAATAAATATAAAATATATTGTTATTTTTTTATTATTCAGATATCCATTAGAAATTACCCTACTCGAAAATATTAATTTAACCGAATCCGAATTTTTCATTTAATTAATAATATATCATTTAATATGAATTTGCAAGTTTGTAAATAAACATTTACATAAACTATTCATAAGTGATAACAAATCACTTGAATACAACCTATTCTCTATTATCTATAATCTTCTTTTTCTAGTATCGTTCTTCGTTTTTTATTTCTTATTTGTTATAATAAAAAGGGGTTTTTCAATAATTTATTAGGGTTTAGAGAATAGTAATTTTTAGTTTTTGTATCAAAATATTTAAGAAGGGCCAACTCATTTAAGGCCCAAAAGCAGAAAGAAAAACCCAAAAGGTTATATAGCTATTTACAAATACGGCCCACATAGTTCCCGCTTCTCCCGCTGATTCGCTTCTCTATCGTCTGCAAAAATTGAAGGAAACCTTCGTCTTCGTCCTCGTTCTCGTTTTGCCCTTTCCTTTCAGTTTGATTTCCAGAGATTAGCAGGAAATCAGAGCCGATACTCCGATTTTTCTTTGTTTTTTTGCGTCCAATTTTCTGCTCGGAATCGTCTCGCTCCGTTTCTCGTTGGATCTGTATGTTTCATGGTGCTCTCTCTTTTTCTCGCATTTCCTTTGTTATGTTTAATTAGGTGCGAGACCGCAATGTGTTACGTGTAAAAGCTCCCTATTTTTGTCTCGTTACTGAATCGCCATGATTCGATTGCTGTGATCTCGATTCTCGAACTGTATTTTTTTTTGTTTATTTCGCTGTGATTTTGAGTTTTAGTGTTTTGCTCTTGTATATGTGTTTCCTAGTTTTGGTTTTGGTTTAATGGAGGAACTTGGGAAATTCTGGGTCTCTCTATCCTTTTCTCTTTCCCTCAATGATTGTTTATCGTTACGTTGGAAGCTTTTGTTGGCCGTGGATGGATTAGAGGTACATAATAATTGTTCCTGGGTTCATATGGCCATGCACATGTTAGCATGAAAGTTTTTCTTCTGCTTCTCAGCTGTTTCTTCTTTCATGTGATCCCTTGTCGAATTCATTTCTTGCAGGAATCTTCTAAACTCCTCCGACGTTGCTATTGCAGTAAAGGGTCAGATTCAAAGTTTCCCATGTTGTAGGAAGTTGGCAAGTGAATACCGTCTTTGATGGAGATGGAAGTTTCTCCTAAGAAGAGAACGGAAATTGCTTCTGCTGATGAAAAGGCAGAGGACAATTCAACATTTGTGGAACAGTTTGAGGAGATGGAATCTCTTGATCTTAGCGATGGAAGTTCTGAGTCAATAATGGATGTGGAACTAGAGGACAGTGACACCAAGATGTCTTCCGGGGATTCCATTACACAACAAGATAACTTGTCTAGGGACTCGGAGATTGCCCTTGAAGGTGCGCATGTTGATTCAAAAGATCAAGAAGAAAGACATGAATCCAGTGATGAGATTGTGGTTGGAGAAGAGAAGCAAAGGCCCGTCTTTGATGGCACTGAGATTCCTAACCACAGCACTTCTTCTAGTTCATCCGAATTCGATCCTGATTCAACAACTGCGGCATCTGCTTGGACAGAGAAGGCAGCTGCACTCAAGAATTTTGTCAGAATGAAGAGTGAAATTGCAGTAAATAGTTTTCTACGACGCCTTTCTGGAAAAAGAGATGATATGTTACAGGAGACACCGGGAATGTCAGATGAACCCAGAGATCACAAATCAGTGGAATCTCCGAAAACTGAGGGGAGATACATGTGGAATCCTCTTACCTTTATAAAAATGAAGCAGAATAATGTGGAAAATGATGGTGACAGAGGAGATCTGACGATGGAAGCATCATTAGAGCCTATAATGATGAAAGGTAGGATTATATTATACACAAGACTAGGATGCGAGGAGTGCAAAGATATTAGGGTGTTTTTGCATAGAAAGAGGCTTAGATATGTTGAGATAAATATTGATATCTTCCCTAATAGAAAGCTGGAGCTGGAAAAGATTTCTGGATCTTTAGCTGTCCCTAAGATATTCTTCAATGAAACATTGATTGGAGACCTGAAGGATCTTAAAGTTTTGGAGGAATCGGGCAAGCTTGAGGAAAAGATCAACTATCTGATAACAGAAATCCCGCCAAGGGAAGCTCCAATGCCGCCTCTTTCAGGTGAAGATGACGCGTCAAGTGACGGACATATTGATGAACTAGCTTTGATAGTTCACAAGATGAAGCCTCGCATCGTTAAGGACCGTTTTCACAAAATGCGTAGGTTCAGAAATTGCTTCTTGGGTACAGAAGCTGTGGATTTTCTATCAGAAGATCAGTATCTACAAAGAGAAGAGGTAATTCTTTGTTAAGTTGTGCTTTCTCTTCAGTTGGTGGTAGACTGATAATATTATGGGGTTAAACATTTTCTACTATGATCTCTTCCTTATCCTGAATTCTAAAACAGGCCATTGAAGTTGCCCGAAAGCTCGCCAAACAACTCTTTTTTCATCATGTCCTAGAGTAAGCACTTTGACTGGTGTCCAGACTGTTTATGTTGCTTTGGATTTTGGTTGTTAGGTTATTGACCGTTGCAAATTGCATTTCTCAACATTTTTTTACCAGTGAGAATCTCTTTGAGGATGACAATCACTTGTACCGGTTTTTGGATGATGATCCAGTTGTATCATCTCAATGCCACAACATCCCCAGAGGAATAATCGATTTGAAGCCAAGGCCGATCTCAGACATCGCGTCCAGACTTAGACGTTTGTTTCAAGCTATCATCGAAGCTTACACTTCTCCGGGTGGAAAACACGTGGACTACAGAAGCATCCATGGAAGCGAAGAATTCGCAAGGTGCGAGCCCATCTCTTCTGTGCAAAATATATTCATGTAATTTGGATATTTAGGTCACCCTTTGGTTCTTCACTCATGCCGGTACCAACCCATCTATGATCTATCTCCATAGGTACCTGAGAATGATCCAGGAGCTCCATAGAGTCGAAGTTCAAGATATGCAAAGAGAGGAAAAGCTTGCTTTCTTCATTAACCTCTACAATATGATGGCTATACATGCTATACTAGTATTAGGCCACCCGGTTGGTCCACTGGAACGGAAAAAGATGTTCGGTGACTTCAAATACGTTATCGGTGGCTGCACATACTCGTTGTCCGCTATCCGAAATGGAATTTTCAGGGCTAACCAGAGGCCACCGTACAATATTATGAAGCCGTTTGGGGCCAAGGATAAACGTTCCAAGGTAGTAACCAAGTCTGCAGTAATCAATTTCCGAGCTTCTTGTTGAAAAAGGCGAAATGCCCAAATCGGTTCGAGGTTGATTTGTCGATAAAGCCTGCTCGGGTCTTTATACGAAACGTAACTCTTAAGTCACCACTTATATCGTCAATCGCTGCTCTGCTTTTTGTCAGGTTGCCCTGCAATATACAGAGCCTCTAGTTCATTTCGCACTGGTTTTCGGCACCCGATCTGGACCTGCTCTGCGGTGCTTCTCACCCGGTGACATCGACCAGGAACTCGCGGGGGCGGCTCGGGATTTCTTACGAGGCGGAGGATTCATGGTTGATCTTACTACAAAGGTTGCACATATCAGTAAAATCTTCCAATGGTAAGCTGATTGAATTTAGATTTTAAAATAAAAAACCATTCAAATACATTATAGTATAGATAGATTGAATCGATTTGATCTGTTGGGAATCTGGTGCTTAGGTATGGGATGGACTTTGGAAAGAACGAGGTCGAGGTACTAAAGCATGCGTCGAATTACTTGGAGCCGACATTGTCAGAAGCTTTGCTCGATTTGCTAGTGGACACACAGCTTGAAATCATTTACCAACCATACGATTGGGGGCTCAACAACTAGAGAGTTTCCAAGTGAAGAAAGAACATATTCCCTTGAAAATATTTGTATTGCCTCAAAACGATGTCGTACTACAGAAATGAAAACGGGATTGTGTTTTTAACCCTCGGCAATCCCCTTCTGTTTCGTAATACGAAGCCAAAACCAATAACCCTAATGAAACCAATTTAATAGTGTTAGCCCCTTTTCTTTCAACTACTCACACAAAAACCCCACACTTTTAAATAACAGTACGAGTAAAACCCAAAATAACCCCCAAGATTTCATCTGAAGGCTCTGAAACATAACCCAACCAACACGTGTACGTGCATTCTTGTCAATTCAGTTCGTTTTTTCTTGCCCTGTACATTAATTTTGATTAAAGTCCATTTTATCGATTGGTGGGTATTTTTACCCTTTAAAAAGAATTTGGAAACTGTGTTTGAATAGCAAAGTTGCGAATAGAAACTAGAGAGAGAGGAAAACTCATCCCTTTAATTTAAACCGAAAGGAGTTTCAGCCACCAAAACCACCTACATAAGCCTTGTGAAGGTAAATATATATGATCAGGGATTGAGAGATCATAGGATCGCCACAAAACACACTCTTGAATCACTGATCGCCAGGAAGTGCCTTGATGATGTCAGAGTCACCTGAAATATCGAGCAACAAAGGCAATGCATGAACATCAAAGTACTTGCAAGAGAATACTTTATGATCATGGAAGAGAGGGTACCCGGATCGACGATGCTGAGACACGACACACGGAAGTATTTTCCGCAGGCTGTACCCAGATCGACGTTGTCTGCGAGCAATAAATAAAAATCAAAACAAAGATTAAAAAAAACATCCATATAGGACAAGCCATGATATATAACCAGGCTTTAGAGAGCATAAGTGAATACATCAAAAATCTTGAATAAGATACACGATGTCCTGTCTGAAAGCCATATGTCAACGACATATTCAAGCTCTTCTAGTTTCAACACACATTCGAACTAATCCTACAGCACGAGGGGAAGCCGTGCGGAATCGAGAGCAAAGCCAACGACAATAACCCAAAGACAGAACAAATAGTCAAAACGAAACAACAACAGTAAGTCATCTCGCTTGTTGTACTCACTTCATCTATCATTATAACCTCAGGACACAACGACACAGATAACACTATGTCAAAATTCGAAATAGATAAACAGATTGTAATTGTACACAGTAGAGAAAGCTAAGGAGATTTTCTGTAACAATTATAAAGCACAAGAATCACTTACTTCCATTGTAGTGGTGGACTCCAACTTTAGCAAGCATAGCATAGTATTCAATCTCCGACCTCCGCAATGGCGGGCAGTTGTTGGATATAAGTATCAACTTACCTACACAAATCCCCACCATTTAATCCCTCACTGACATTTCCATCACGCGAACCGGATGAATCCAACTAAGTAGTAGTACCTTTGGAGCTGCGAAGGGACTTAAGAACGGATTTGTACCCTAGAGTGTACTTTCCACTCTTCATCACCAGAGCCAATCTGCTGTTGATTCCCTCATGAGACTTCTTCTGCGATCATTCGCCCAAAAAAGAACCTCCATTAGAATCAGAACCTCCAGATCGAGAAACGCAATGGAAAAATCTATAGGTTCAGGATTAGATCGAGAAACATACAGTCTTCTTCGCCGTCACCATCTTTGCAGCAACGCACTGAGTCTATTTCCTACAAATATCAGAAACAAAGCAAGACTTCAGATTTCAGCGATGAATCCAACGAATATTGGCCCTAAGATTCAGGGAAAGAAACCAGATTTCACCTCAAGGGTCTTCTTCGGGGTGCGCAGAGACAGCGGAGTGGTGCAAAATGAAGTCAGAGATTGAAAGAAGCTTTGGAACCCTAAGTAGGGTTTTTTTGAGCCCCTAAAACACGATGAGCACGTGACTCGCACGTGTAGGCCCAATTTCGACATATAATTATGATTAAAGCCCTTACAAATAACAACGCAGCCCAATAATTGTGAGCCCAACTATGCATTCTTTAAAAGCCTAGAGAGTAGAGAACGTTATCGTTTAGTGGCACAAACTTTTTTTTGTGTTCAGTAATTTAATGTGATTTTTGTCTTTGTCCGTAAATATAAAAAATAAAGAAAACTACGTTCTCATTCCTACACGAATTTTAAAAATTAAACTCGACCCACCATTTTTACATATTTATTCCTATTTACTTAATTCAAAAACACCTTCAAAAAAAGACGACCATAATCCAACCAACCTTCATTTTGTAATTGCAAAAAAAGGAACAATTTAATAAGATTAGAGAAAGCAGATGTTAAGAATAACAAAACTAATTACATAAAAAAAAATTATTTTGGTACAGATATTTATGAAATTGGGGAGATTCGCTGATGTGGAAAGGAGGGGCCTTTATTAGTAAAGTTGTCATCAAACGCTTGTTCGAATCCTAGGAAGTGAAGCGCGTGCTCCTCACGCACACACGAACACGCGCCCGCACTCCCTCTTTAGCTGTCACGACTCACGAGGCTTACTAGGAGAAAAACCGATACTCTTCGTCTCCGGCGCGGCGAATCTTTATGGCAAGCTTCGCCTCTGTTTTGGCAATCGCCGTCTGTCTCTTCGCCGATGTATCCGCTCTCGGCTTCACGTTCTCGGCGAAGCTCATTCATCGGTACTCTCTCGAGGCGGCGGAGTGGAGATCGAGGGAAGGCGTCGTTGTTTTTCCGGAGCGAAAGAGCTTGGAGTACGCGGAGGTTCTTCTGAGCAGCGACTTGAAGAGGCTGAGAATGAAGTTCGGGTCTCGGCTCCAGTTTTTGTTCCCTTCCGAGGGAAGCTTGATTCAATCTTTTGGGAACGAGCTCGGTTGGTGAGTCGATTCGTACTGCTTTTCTTTTTGTTCCGAAAGGTGTTTGGATTCCAAGAAAAGGAGAATGGCGTGAAAGTATCCGGTTGTTGATTGCATTATTATTTTACAAGGATTTTGAGTTCCCGTTTGGCTGAACACTGGGTTTTGATGGGAACTTGAAATGTATCGCTCAGCGCATTGTTTTAGAATATCTTTTCGTAGCCGGGAAACTGAATTCTGTGGCCAGATTTTGTTTGTAATCTGGTTTACCAGTCGCTGACGAGCTCGAGTCCTGTTTGGCTACTGAGAAAATCACATTATTGGGGAAGAATTTGTTACCATCTGAAACGCGCTTGCTTGTTGTCGTTCAAATTTTGGAGGATCTAATGGTTTAAATTTCTCTGCAATTTCAGGTTACATTACACATGGATAGATGTGGGGAATCCTAATGTACCGTTTCTTGTTGCATTGGATGCGGGAAGCGATCTCTTCTGGGTCCCATGTGAATGTATTAGATGTGCCTCCTTCTCGGCTAGTCAATACCATGTCCTGGTACGTATAACCTCATTTATTAGCTTCCACTCTGCATTTTGCTCACTCCTTTATCGTTGTCTGAATCGGTTCCTTTTCCTATTCACAGTTTGATAGGATAGAATGTTTGAGGGTTTCCATGATCCATCAATAGTGGTGTTGTCGCCTCTTCGTCCATGTATAATGCGGCCATAGGAAGAAGGTTACATCAATTTCATTTTCTATATTTGAATGATATTAACTTGACTCAGAGTTAGATAAACACCATGTAATGTTAAGCTGTAAGGTCAAGACAGGTAGTATTTCTTGATCATTTGTAGTTCACCACTTCAACATGTTCATTCGTGTTTAGTTACTAACAGTTTCCATGGCTGCGTAAAGTGTTAACCTTTCACGTTGCATCTCTCACTTATTGTCTTCTTCTAACTTATTACCATGCTTTTATGTCCAATGGTTTAAGAAATCCTTATCATTGACCCCAGTGGGCTCTTCGCATGGTTCATCAAAGAACTGATGACTGGTTAAGCATATTTGATATCAATGATTGATTGGCTGGCCTTCCCTTGTCTTGTGGGGGACTATTGTGCAGGATAGAGATCTGAGTGAGTATCATCCATCGAAATCTAGCACTGTTCAGAACGTGTCTTGCAGCCACAACTTGTGTCAAGCAAGAGACAACTGCAAAAATCCAGAGGATCTCTGCCCTTACATTGTCGAGTATGACACTGATGATACCTCAACCTCTGGGTATCTGGTCCAAGAGAAATTACATTTAGCATCTCTCGGCGAGGGCACATCGCGGAACGGAGTGCAGGCTTCTGTGATTATGGGGTGCATTACCATGGACTCTTATCCTTACAAAATATTATATGTTAAACACACCTTCTGTATGACAATACCGTGTGATTATGTGAGACAGAGATGTTGCTTTTAGTGATATGTTGGCTCCCTTTTCTGAGCTTTTTGCTTTATCTATAATTCTACTCTGTCTAATTGCAGCTGCGGTAGGAAGCAAAGTGGGATCTTCTTGAGTGGAGCTGCTCCTGATGGTTTGATTGGCCTTGGACCTGGTAATATTTCAATTCCAACTATCCTTGCCAATGCTGGACTCATTCGGAACTCTTTTTCAATCTGTTATGACGAGGATGACTCCGGAAGATTTCTCTTTGGTGACCAAGGCCCTCAATCTCAACAATATACCCCATTATTGACCAAAGACGGAAAATAGTATGCCATTTCCCATTTCTTTTCCTTTCCTATAGTCTTTTATCTACTGGTAATATTCATTCCTTTCTCTTCTGTGACACGTACTAATCTACTATCCCTCATTCTTCCAGTGAAGCCTACATCGTTAGAGTGGAATCGTGCTGTGTTGGAACCACTTGTATTAAGCAATCTGGTTACCGAGCTAATGTAGACACTGGCTCGTCTTTCACTTCTCTTCCGAAGGATGTCCATGATAAGGTTGTCGCAGAGGTAATATTTTCTCCTCTGCAAGTAGTTACGGATTAGTGTCCTTACATGCCCAGTGAGAATTTCTTTTTCTTGTTTCCAGCTTGACAAACGTCTGGATATAAAAAGAACTGGCCAACAAGGGATTTTCGACAACTGCTATAGGGCCAGGTTTGTCACTTAGGCTTAGGAAATTTTCAATGATTTATCTCATTATATCATATAATGCTTGGAGAAGCTCATTCGCAATGTCGGGTGATACACTGACAGTTCGAAGGATCTAGCAAAATTTCCTACCATCAGGCTGATGTTCACCAATAACCAAAGTTTTTCAGTCGGAGATTACACAATTTCTTCGGGAACGGTAATATGCACTAATCCGTTTCCAAATAGATACTTCTTGAGGTGGGCTCAACCATTTGACCGTCTTAACCATCACGTGCTACAGACTAAATCCTTATAAGCATATGTATTCCTTAATGTTTCAGGGCATTGTATGTTTAACAATGATGCCGTGGGATCGAGATTATGGTGTTATTGGACGTAAGTATGAAAATTGTCTATGGCATTCTCAGGTCTTCTCCATGAATTTTCCTCTGACTATCGAAACCCCGCAGAAAACTCCATGATCGGTCACCTAATGGTTTTCGATAGAGAGAATCTTAGACTGGGATGGTCTCGTTCCGACTGTAAGTACCAGTGGCTGAAACTCCAGACACAAACCTTTTACTTTCATTAATTACATAACTTCTTTGTTCATCCTCATCCACAGGCCAAGATCCAAGCAGAAGAGCAGGCGTGAGCATCTCGCCATCATCACAAAGCCCTTTACCGGCAAGCAAACGACAGAGTAAGAACCATTCCGAGGCAAAATCTCCACAGGCTGATTCCATCACAGCTTCTCACAAATCCTCCCTGGCGAATCAAACAGCTCTCCTCCATATCTATACGCTTCTATTACTAATGTGTTCAATCCTTACCACCACCACCACCTAGTAAGTTTATATGCCTCTGTTTCTCCTCCATGTATATGCTTTTTGTTTATTCTTTGCTTTCTAGCTTCTTTCTCTCTCCTCTAGTCGTTTCGTTTTTAACTATGGTAGCTCGGTGTTTTTCTTTTGTTGCATATTGTTGCTTTTCTTGTGGTGTTGCATGTTTTTATTTTTTTTCCCTTTAAATTAGGAATATTTTAGAAGTTAATTAAACTTCCGGATAAGTGTGTGTGTGGAATGAGAATTAAACTTCCGGTTATATATGCTTGTATATAAGAATTATGAATTTTGTCATTAGATGTGTTAAAAATATTAATTGTAATCATATTACATTTAACATGATAAAATTTATCCCACCAGGGATTTTTATCACGTTTATGTGAATAATTAGGATGAAATTTCAATTATATTTTTTTTTTGTTAAATTTAATCTTAAGAAAATGAACATAGTTTGATGGTTTTTAAAGTTCGGTATGAATCTATTTGAGTTTGAAACTTAGTACACTCATGCAATTTGTCATATATCAGTTTTCAGTTTCAGATTGTAATCAGTTTTCAAAAATGTTAGTTCGGACTGAATAATTTGTAAATGTACCCACGTTTCCAGTTTCAGATTTTATGTAATAAGATTTAACTCATCAAATATGATTCATCTTGAGGCGTTGTACAATGGCACTATCGTAATTTAGCATACTATTTTTATTCTAAAATCTTTTGTTGTAACTCTATAATATACCTTCGTATATACAAACAGTTTTAATTGCCGAAACCATCTGAATTTGGGTTTGAACTTGAGCTTTAAAATATTATTATTCAATCCTATGAATTTGGGACCATAAGCTTTAAAATAAGATTATTATTCTAATGTGGGATCATAAGCTTTAACATAAGGATAAAATGAAAATATTATTCTAATGAATGTGAAATCCTCTGAATTTGGGTTTGAACTCGAGAGCTGTAGACATGTCAAACCATGATTTGATCTAAACCAATATAGCAATAATTAATGCATAGCTAAAGATGATTGTTTTTTCTTCTATAAGTATGGAAATACACGTCACGCCATGCATACATAGATATTATCTGTCCTCTGCTGATACGATCAGAGCCGTAAAAAAGCTGGTGCATCTGGAGCCAACAGCACACAATTTGGTGGGCCCTCGTTTTAAAAAATAAATAAATATTAATTTGTAATTATATATATCGATATTATCTTTAATAACTAATTAACATTATGTTTTATCTACAATTTCATAATTGTTATCATTAATAATTTATGTTTTAAGTTATTTTTTTATAATATTAAATTAATTAATATAATTTATAATTATTTCCTTTTTATAAGTCTAAAATGAATCCACATAACATAATCTTATATTCATTTTTCAATTTTCAATCTCAAATTTATTATACAAAATTATTTTTATATTTTACCATTTATTTACACTTTTTATTTTATACACATCACAAATCTTAGGTCTTAAACTCTTAATATTTACGCATACAATTCATAATAAAATTATATTTAAATATTTAAAAAAAATTTCTTTATATTTTGATAATACAACAAAAAAAAAATTGTTCGGAGCCCCAAAAAAATATTTGAGACCGATCTGTACTTATCTAGAAAGTGTAAAACGGAACATAACAAATTACCAACAGGTACAAAATGACAAGAGTCGATAGAGATTAACCCCAAAAAAACGGGAAGTACAGATTTTCACTTTCGGTTTGTGTTTTTTTTCCTTCCAAATATTGTTTTGGCTGGCTTGTCTGTCAACAAAAAAAAAATATTTAAAATTCGGTGAACGAACATATTTAGAAGTACGGTTGTACTTTCTTTTTATTTTCCTTTTTATCAAATCTGATAATATATATATAGATATATATATATATATATATATATATAAAACCAACCATATCTGTCCAATCCGATAAGATCTGTCAAGATCCTAACAAATTATTTGCTAATTCAACATTTTCCCGAGAAATACAAGGAGAAAGAATCGGACTCAAACCCTAATTCGACAGCTCTCGTCCTCTAAAAAGGAAAAGCACACATTCACCCTTCTCTGCATATTTATAACCCCTAAATCCACACTCATTTTCAAAACACAAACAAGACTCATTCACAAGGAATAAACAGCAACAGCAACGACAACAACGACAAAAGAAGGGGGAAAAAAACCAAACATCAAAAAAAATGAAGCAATCACTTGTCCTCGCGATCTCCTTATTGGTGGCGCTGGTATCGTCCTCGTCCATCGCTCCAATCCACGGCCGGCAAAATTCTCAGGCGAAACCTCCGGCGATGCCTCCGGCAGTGTCTCCGGCGCCAGGGCCGTCGAACTCCGACTGTTCGACCATCATATTCAACATGGCGGACTGCCTATCGTTCATAAGCGAGGGATCGACGGATCCCAAACCGACGAAATCGTGCTGCGACGGTATGAACTCGGTCCTCGAGTACAATCCCAAGTGCATTTGCGCCGGTTTAGACAGCGGCCGACAGATGGGCATCCAACTGAACAACACTAGAGCCGTTTCCATGCCGTCTCTTTGCAAAGCCACCATCACTCCTCCCGACTGCGGTACGCGTAATTTATGATTGTAATCAACAAGGGTAGTATTGTAATTACTAATATCTAGGGTTGTTTTGTTAAACAATATATATATATATTTGTATATGAAAACATTAGAAGATTAGATTGAATATTCTTTTAATTTGGCTGTGTGTAGGCATCGCAAGTGCGGGTCCTTCTCCGAGTTCTCCCAATGCATCTCCATGTACGTTCCACTCTCATCTCATTTCAATTACGTTTCTTTTCATGCAGATGGCTAATATTCCTAACAATCAGAATATTTTATAATAATATTATATATTCAACTACAAGATCGATTTTGATATCTCGGAAAAGACTAGGACTAATGTGCAAATAACATTTAAGGATTTTCGATTTTTTATATATGCGATTCAATAAATATATAATGGCCCCTAGAATTTAATGTAAAACCATTTTTATTATATTTCATTGAATTGTATAAACAAAAAACTTATCAGTAATAGCTTTCTATTCATATTCTATGTTTAATCATTTTCTTATCGTGTTTACCCGTACTAATTATAATTAGCGTGATCATATTAGCATTATACATTTTAAATTACATTATCAGGGATTATACATATATGTTCTGATCTATGGTATTATTTCAATTATTAATGCAGCTGCTCCGACTCCGTCAACTCCGCCGTCAGCGGAGGCACCGGGGGGTTCCGAGGCGGTGCCCGAGGCACCTACACCAGCTCCGGTCACGGAAGAGACAACAACTCCTCCGTCGTCCGCCGCCAGAACCATGTCGGTTTCCGTACTGTTCCTCGTCGCCATGACCCTCTTCTCTTTTTCTTAATTAAATTAGAAACTTTTTTTTTTTTAATTTTTCTGTTGGTATCCGTTTTTTTTATATATGGGATTGTGGACCAAAATAATTTGTGATGGCTATGGATATGCAGACCGATGACGTTTTATATTTGTTATTTCTTTAATTTAATGGAAATGTCGTGTTCGTCTCTGATTGGTGTATTTTGGTTTCGGTACAAGTGATATTTCTATGAAATTGTTATTTGCACTTGTAAGCCCACTTTCTTAACCGACAATCCCAAAATTCAATTTATTCTGCAGAAATTGAATTTTATTGAATGGATCTACCCAATTAACTCTTTTATTAAACTTGTATATTATTTGTATTCAATTCCAGGCAAATATTCAAGTACTATTTGTTTCGAGACGACATCGTTTTATGAACCTAAAAGGCTAAAACGACTTCACAGTGATGGAGTGTTCCCTCTCTTCTTACCCAAAAATCATCCCCTTTTTTCGTCTCCTTATCCAATCTCTCTCTCTCTCTCTCCCCCATGGCTCTCCTTCGTCTTCCTGGCGTTTCCCTCCATTTTTCGCGATGCCAATCGGACCAGAAGTGTTCTAATCCTAAGTTTTCGCTTAGCAGTGTTTCTCTGTCATCATCTAGTTGCTATCTATCTCGTATTCAACGTTATCAGACAATTCCGGACGCTGTTTCGGCAAAACCAAAACCTAGCAGTAGCTTTACCTTGTACTTCTCTGCTACAACCCAAGACCAGGTTCTCGAATCTTCTTCTTCTTCTTCTTCTTCTTCCTCGGCGAATGATGCGAAACCGCTAGACGAGTTTTCGAAGAGCAGGTTGATTGCCCAGAACGTCCCTTGGACATCTACGCCGGAAGACATTCGATCCTTGTTCGAGAAGTACGGAAATGTCGTCGACATTGAGGTTTTCTCGTTTCTTCTTACTCTTTGGTGTTTGGAACCTTCCTCTGTTCTTCAACATGGGTTTCATTGTCTGGGTTTCGATTTGTTTGTTGGATTGTAGGTGTCTATGCATAACAAGTCGAGGAACAGAGGACTGGCTTTTATCGAAATGGGTTCCCCTGAGGAGGCTGCTTCGGCTCTCCGCAATCTCGAATCGTATGTAAGCACATTGCTTCAGGCTCTTTGATGATTTCAGATGGAAGAATTATGATTGAAACGATTTTGGTGAAGTTCCTGAGACAAAGGAACCAAAGGGCTCTATCCCCGTTTATCTGACGTTTGGCTGATCTAAATTAGCATATGATGCTGTTGGCGTGTGATCACACTGTCTATTGATACATCCACATCAATTGTATTTTCCATGTTCATTGCAGTATTGAAAATGCTTTCTTGCCGTGAATCAGATAGCCTGCGCATATCGAGTTCCATGTTAAAGAGAACTTAGCTTATAACTCTCTGTCATATGTCACCATGTTCGGATATCAACAGTTTTCTGGGAGTTTAATAGACTTTTCTGTCCAAATAAGTATAGGCTGATTGTTCTTGCTGCTTCTTGGTCCCTTTCCTTGTTTTATTGATTGGTCTACCGTTGAATCTGTGATTGTTGTTTAGCAATACGAGGGTCGAGTTTTGAAGATAAACTATGCAAAGCGCAAAACGGAGAAACCTGCGCCGCCCGCAAAGCCTAATCCTGTGCCTACATTCAACTTGTTCGTCGCCAACTTGTCTTTCGAAGCAAGGGCCAAGAATCTTAAAGAGTTTTTTGATTCGGGTTCTGGTAACGTCGTTTCAGCCGAAATCATATTCCATGATAATCCAAGGAGGTCAAGCGGCTACGGATTTGTATCGTTCAAAACCAAGAAACAGGCCGAGGCGGCGCTCAATGATTTCCAAGGAAAGGTAATAGAGAAGTTCTTTACAATCTCCATATGACAAACCATGCGGTTAGCAACGGGCTCACAACAATTTTAAACAAGAAACTACATCAATGTGGAATGATACTCAGATCAATCCATAACATCTGAATGGAGATGTGATAGATACTTCTCTTCTATACCTATTACTCCTATTTTCTCTCTAATATTCTCGTGGATAGAATTAGAAATAAGAGTATTAGAGAGAAAATAGAATTAATAGGTGTACAAAAGAAATTACTAGAGGGACATTTAAAATAGTTTGAATATGTACAAATTAGGCCGTTGGGTACTCCGGTTAGAAAAATGGAGAACATAGAAATGAGATGAAGAGAAAATGGATGGGTAGACCTAGGATCACTTGGGAACGAGTCATTAGGAATGACTTGAAATTGTTGCAAATTTCGGGAGATTTAACTTCAAATCGAAATGAGTGGAAACGAAGAATTCATTCGGCCGACCCAAATAAACTTGGGATTAAGACGATGTTGATGTTGCAGTGTCTTTAGATTGTTATAAACACGTAGTTTGATGGGGTATATCCATGCTTGTATGGGTAATGGAAACCGTTAGTTTCCTATGCAGAAGTGAATGTGTATATCTTATAAATTTAGAGATGAACAGGAATTCATGGGGAGACCAATACGAGTAGCTCGCAGCAAACAGTTTGTGAAATTGCAAGCAAAAGAAGGCTTGGAGGCTGACGAGGAACCATCACAGTCCAACACGAATGAGGCTGACGAGGAGGCTTCAACTGGTGAAACCTGAAGGTAAAAAAAAAAGGTCCTCAATACCCTCTGCAGCTTTTATCCTTTAGCTTTATCTTCACTGATTAGTGTTTTGATGGAAAAAGATTTGGCAAGTAAAATTTTATGCTTTTTTTTTTTTTGCCAAAAGCTCCCTTTCCATTGTGGGTTGAATAAATGAAATTGGCTAAGGCATATGAGCATATTGTGAATCCATTTTGCCAACCCTTAAGTTATGTCTATATTGTGAGTTCATTTTGCTGTTCTTATGAGACATTATCAAAAATATCATTATTTTGCTACACAGGTTTTAAACCATATCCTTTTAAACTCTTTTATGTGTGACTAGTATGATCACCGTGATTTGTGACCTAATGCAGGATCACGCTAGTCACACCGTTAAAAGTACATAGTGGTCACACTAGTCACAATAATCACATTGTTTAAAATTTATATGATGGTCACACTGATCTTACTGGTCGTATAGAAAAAAGTTTAAAAGAATATGATCTGAAATCCATGTAGCAAACTAAGGGTAGTTTCGATATAATGTCGTTCTAACGGGGACAACAACTTATGATGTCTTTGCAGGATACTGCTGTGATGTGCGAAAATTAAAACCGAAGAGATTTGGAGCTTGGGTTCGCTGTTGTATCGATCGAGCAAACATTAAGAGAGAGGACTAGCAATGTGAGTTAAACTCTGATTTCACCTCTGGTAAACTGTTGGATTATCAAGTTCAGGTGGGAAGTGTAATATGTACATTTGAGGGATATGTGAGCTGAAGTAGTGAAACCTTCCATGCCAAAAACTCAAGACAAAGCAAAACCCATGTTCCCAAAAGGCTCATAGGACATGTTTCTCTTGCAATTTTCACCGCACCTCCTCCACTTGTTCTTGTGCTTTATTCCCTTTTTTTTTTTGCAATTTGATTGGTTTTGACATTTACAAGACGAACAAAATGGTGTTTTTCATTTTCATATTCTTTTCGTTTGATCACTGAAATTTTGGAATCTTGAGAGAGTGTAAAGCTTTTCTTGCAAGTGAGCATGCGAGAACAGGATTCTCAGCTTTTTTTTTTTTAATATTCCGGATTTCTGTTTACTTTCCAAGAAATTTTATTTTTACTTTATCCAGTAAATTTCCCTTTTTTAAAAATGTGATTTTTTTCCTCCCCTTTTGCTTTTCCTCTCCTTTTCCAAAACCCAACAAGTCTTTTTACATATATTCGTCCAACTCATACGAGGAATTACATATTTTCCACTATGTTTTTACATTCAAAACTAAATAATGATGGCAACAAATACCCAATATTATTAAAAAGAATTCATTCATATTCAAATTTGTGGCAAGAAAATGAAAATGGAGAGACACGCCGCACTATAGAAATGGAGAATCCTTTTATGTATTTACAGCTGGACGCCACGTGACACCAACTCCATCTCCGTTCACTTTTTTTTTTTTAAATCTTCTTACCAAATGCAAGAGGCAGAACACACCCACCCAGCTGTTGCACCACTTCAACAAACCGACAAATACACAACGACACGCGTCTCCACGCGCCGCTCGTTTTTGCCTGTCCCTGTGTCGATCACTTGTTGTATTTCTTAATTAAGCAACTAATCTTGTTAATGACGAATTTCACTTCAAGTGCAGATGCTTAACGATATAGTTTTTAAAATAATAATAATTAACAACAAGTTTAACTAGCAATAAACTTATGAACGTACGGAAAACAAAAATCAAATCTCTACCGTCAATACAAGATACATAATAAAAAAATTACAACAATAAAAAGAACACTAAAGATTCGCAATGGAAATTCATACTGAAACTTAAGTATCTGATGGATCTGCCATCTACATCAACAAAGCGGTGAAGGCGACAGCAACTCCGGCGAGAGATCCAGCAACGGCTACTCTGTTCACAGCGGCGGAGTTCGGTGCGGTAGGGCTCGACGGAGTTAGAGCAGGTCCAGGATTCGCGCCCGAGGGAGTTGAGGCGCTCGGAGCTCCGGCGGGAGACGTCGGAGGTGCCGGCGGAGACGCAGCGGTGGGAGGAGTCGCCGGTGGCTGACTTACAGGAGCCGGAGTGGGAGCGGCCTTGGGAGCTGCGGAGGGCGGAGGAGTGGAGGGAGCTGGCGCGGCGGCGGTGGGTGCACGCGCCAGGGGAGGAGCGGCGGTGGGTGCACGCGCCAGGGGAGGAGAGGCGGCGCGTGGGCTTCTGGTCGTCGGAGCCGGTGCCGGAGCCTGAGCAACGGCGGAGGTGATGAAGAGGGAGATGAGCAAAACGACGACGGATTTGGAGGCCATGTCTTTGGATTTTACGAAAGATTTCATAATTAGAAAGATACTTGATATGGTCTCGGATCGAATAGACGTAGCGATGATGAGGGACTATATATATATATATGTAGTACAGCTGTGGGGGTATTTCTTGGAAATTATGTTGATAGGCACTACATTTATTATATTTTAAAACTAGTCTATAACAATGTGTTATTTCAAGATTTTTCCTTACTTTTTTGTTAGTCTAATTTTGTCCAAACTTTTCAATTAAGGATGAATTTAAATTAAATCGATTAAAATTTTGAATTTGTGATAAAAAAGAATTAAATTTATGACTATAATAAAATCTAGTTTCGAACATGGTATTCAAAAATCTGTTTTGGATCTATGTAGTATCATTTGTTAATAAATGATAAAACTCAATTTGGATAGTTCAACCGGTGGAATGAGGACGGAAAATATTTATCTCATTTCGAGTTTTAAATTGGAGAAAAAAACATAATTTCAATCACATGGTTTGTTCTACTCCTAAGATTAATCTAGATTTCGTCTCACAATAACCGCTTACCAAAAAAAGGATAAAATAAGAATACATTCTTTAGGAATAAAAAGAGGTCAAAAATAAAATATAAAAAATAATGGGGTAGACCAATAGACAATTAAGAGAACAAGGACTAATATGAAAATTCTCTAGACTTTGGCGAACAGGGCTCATCTCAGTCCTTAAAAAAGAAGTGTGATGAGAGAAGAGTCCTTTGGCCGACCGAAACAGCGCGCTGTTTTCAAAAGGATCTAGAGGAATGGGCGGCGTTCCATCTCTGGCGTAGTCGCGTGGACGTGGTGGACTTTTCCTTTTAACCAAAAAAAAGGTCTTCGAGATTAATTTAATCGACCAAAAAAGAAGGCTCCTTCTCTTAAAACAAGAAATTTAATTATTATTGTCAGATATATTTTAGCAATTCTATTATAAAATATAAATATATTATATTAAAATTCAAATAGCTGTGAAGAAGGTAATCTACGACTCACCCACGCCATAGTTATTATTACGGGTAAATATCATCGCAAGGACACTGAGGTGATTCAGATTATTGAAAACGCAACACGTTAAAATACAAAACGACGATAAGCCATAAGAAGACAAAAGAAAATTTCTCATGAACTGGAAAACTTTTACTTGTGATTGTGAAGGACACGTGTACCGAAAGACGGTAACATTTGTCGACATCATCACACTCACACAAGGTTGGGTCCAACGGTAAATTCTAAAATTACCCTGAAATTTTTTACCACTTCATTCCATTCGGTACCTAGTAGTTTTTGTACGTGAGAAATGAGAAGAGTTCTTTTATTATCATTTTTTAAAAAAAATATTAAAATACAAAAATAGATTACATATACTACACAATATATTTTTTTTTATAACGAACTGGATCTTCTTAATTTTTTAGATTCGGAATTAACTTTTAATTATGTAATTAGTGGAATTGAACCCAGTGATTGACTACACAATATATATATATAATATATATATATGAAACTTTCATCCATTCTCTGCGTATCAACATATTGAATAACATAAAATACAGGGGGTGATTCCGAAATTATAAATTCTGCGATAAATTGGGTCCCACGTGAGAGTATAAATATATGTCCTGAAAAGCTCGCGCGCCGCCCCATCCCACCGTCGCATCCGCCGAGGGAGATTGTCGCCTCCTCTATCCCCTTTCCTTCAGTCGCTTTTCCCGGCGCAGAATTTTGAAACCTTTGCCTCGCTTCTCTCTTTAAGCTTCCTCTTCAACTGTCTTCGATTAAGGTAGCTTTGTTCTTCGCCTTTGTGGAAAACAGAGGGTGTTGTCCTGAAAATTCGCTGAATCTTCGGTAGCGAATGTTTCTGTCTAATGTTGATTCTTTTTTTATTTCGATTGCACAGGTAATGCATAAAGCTATTAATCTGGTTAAGACAAAACTTCCTCCAATGGCGCTTCATTTTGAGGTACGGTTTCGTGTTCATGGCCTTTATTTCAATGAGGGTTTCGGAGGTTTTTGTTGTGTAATCTCTTGTCATTAACCTTGAATAAAGAAATATGCATGGTTTTTCGATGGATGAAACAATGTGGGAGAGTAACTAACAGATGGGCTTCGGAGATTTGGTGTTGAATCGCTCCAGTCATTGGAGATACGTAATCTTACATCCTCGTATGAAATTAACTTTCTGCATTTTTTTGGGGGGCATAGATTCTAGGGAAGTATAATCGTGCTCGGGCAGCTCGGATGACACTTCCTCACTTTGTATGCCAAACACCCTTGTTTATGCCTGTCGGAACGAAAGGTTGGAACAAAATACACGTTGTTTACATGGAATGCTTTGGTCGATTGCTTATATGCCCTCTGACATCTAGTGTTCTGTCCCCGCAGGGGCAATGAAGGGTTTGACAAGTAAACAGCTTGAGGAGATTGGTTGTCAAATAATTCTTGGGAATACGTATCATCTGGAGCTTCAGCCGACATCTGAGCTCATTCATGAACTAGGAGGTCTCCACAAGTTTATGAACTGGCCTAGAGCAATGCTTACGGACTCGGGTGGATTTCAGATGGTTGTTTTTCACATTACTATTATTATAATTGCCATCATCATGAAATTCAAAGTTTTTTTTTATAATCTATGAAAAGCCACTGTTCCGTTTTTGGTTGTGTTGAAATCTGAACATAGAGCATGGGAAGACCGTTATCTGGTGTAAACATTGTTCATATTGAGAATTCCGAACATATTGCTTTTAAGACGCTTGGCGGTGTTGATACATCTTTTTAATTGTTTCTCAATGCACGATTCTCTGCCTTTGATCTTTCAGGTCTCATTGTTGCATTTAGCAAATATTACAGAGGACGGAGTGACATTTCAGGTATTTTGTTCTTTCTCGGAGGCCAGATGCTGAACTTCTTACAACTTTGTTTCTTGCTTTTTATTTTTGTTTATCTCTTTTGGTTTTAACTCATTTTGTTTTTCTATTTATTTCTGTTTCAGTCTCCAGTTGATGGAACGCCAATGCTGCTAACACCGGAGGAGTCTATTCAAATCCAAGTGAGTCTATAACTTCTTGCACCTTCATTCTATTGCCACTGTCCTTTCGCAACAGACCTGCAAAATTTTTTCCTTTAAAACATGCTATCGCTGGTCAACTAGTGCATAATCCTTATGAAATCGCATCTTTCCAGCCCTCGAGCCTGTCATTTTCATTTTAATTTTGTACAATGTGTAACCCTTCAACCAGTTTTTCTGCATTCAATTTCACATAAATCTCTGGTTCTCCTCTGACTGCAGAATAAGATAGGGGCAGATATAATCATGGCTCTTGACGATGTCGTGAAAACTACCATCACCGGACCTAGAGTTGAGGAGGCTATGCATCGAACACTACGATGGATCGACAGGTGTATTGCCGGTATTATACTCTTTGTTGCTACTTACTAATAATCTGTTTACCAGATGGGCGAACTATCAAGGAGCTTATCCTGCTTTTCAATTGGCGAAACCCATTATCTTGTTTGCTTTGTTTTCTGCAACAGCTCACAAGAGACCAGAGGAACAGAACTTATTCGGTATTGTACAGGGGGGTCTTGATCCTAGGCTAAGGTACATTTTAATCTTTTCCCACCGGTTTCCTAATGAGATTTGGCTATGATTGTTCCTGTTCACTTTTCACGATGATAATATTTCATTTACTAGGGATATATGTGTTCGAGGCTTGGTGGACAGGAACTTACCGGGGTATAGACTGTTAACCCTCTTGACTAGAATCTGATCTTCACCACATTACTTAGACGTGAAACCGGGTTTTTGTTTTTAATTTTCACCTTCTTGATCCTGATTTGTGGTCGGGAAGATTTCTTTTCATATAGAGACTGATCAGTTCATTCTTTCCCTTGAAAGCTATGCCATTGGTGGTCTTTCTGGAGGGGAAGATAAAGACTCATTTTGGCGCGTCGTTGCACAGTGTACTGAAGCACTGCCAGAAGACAAACCGCGATATGTCATGGTACATACAAGATCATCGAGCCTTACATGGAAAATGTTATGTTTTCTTGTCTGTTTACTGCAGTGTGGCATCTTATGGTTGTTCACCTCATGACAGGGTGTTGGCTATCCTCTGGATATAGTGGTTTGCAGTGCTTTGGGTGCTGACATGTATGATTGCGTTTATCCGACCCGGACTGCACGTTTTGGTACAGCTCTTGTACCCGAGGTGATGCTCAGTTTATTTAATTGGTATTCTGATGGACTCCTCAAATGCAATAGATTTTAATGTCCTGCACAAACGATTCAGTAGCTTTTACACTAATATCTCGGGCTAGGGCTGGACAAAACAAGTCTGAAATTCGGGTACCGGATATTATAAGAGATGAGATCAGATTTGGTGATGGGAAAACCCGAAAATCGGGTTTGAGTTTGGTAATTGGATCCAAGACAGTTACTACCGAATGAAGAGTAAAATTACTATTTCCCCCCTAGGTTTTAAATAAACCATATACAAATCTAGAGTTCTAAACGGAAATTTGTTGCAATTTGGGGTTCGGATTCGGAGAAGTACCCGACCCTAGCCAACATCTAGTATATGATACATATTTGGAAAAAAAAATCGACATTCGTTATTGAACCTTGGATCCGGATACCCGACCAAAACGCATCCGAGATCGGATAGTATCTCGTGAGACAACGAGGCATTGGATTCAGGTTCAGATAGCCCGAAAATCTCAAGTACCCGATCTATGTCCACCCACGGATTGACATGGATTAGAGATTCATATCTTTTTTTTGCTTGAATTTGCTTTTGCAGGGAGTTTTGAGACTCAAGCACAATGCTATGGCTACCGACACTCTT